CACACACACACACACACACACACACACACACACACACACACACTGTGACGAGAGCCGGACACGCTCAGCCTTTCGTGTGTTTAAATTTAAAGAGGTAGTTCCTGTCCGAGCAGAGCACCGACACAGAGAGGGGAAGTGAAAGGCAGTTTCAAGATGTTCGAACCGAGGAGCTGCTGTCTGAGCGCAAAACAACAACTTTTGTTGCCGTAAATAAAACGAGCTGCCGCCTATTTCTGCTGGTTTGAACATTACAGCTTCACGCCTGAGTAAAGCATAAATAAAACCGGACATTACGCATTAACACTGTTCACCGAAGGACCTCAAAGACAGGCCTGAGACTTCATCAGGGGTGCATTAACTGCATTTATGTTGAGAGGTGGGTAAAACTGAGTTTGTAAAACTTCATTAAATAAATCACAACACATTTACGCAACTATCAAAGCCTTTGTACGGGTGAAACAAAAGACGAGGTGGGATTCAACAGAAACCTCACAGTTTGGTTTAAGAGCTGCTTCTGAATGACGATCACTCAGTGATCACCAACATCTACTTCAGCAGACGCAGAGTGATGAGAAATCCTGATGACTAACAGCGGCAGCACCGACGGGAACCCGTGGGACCAAGGAGTAATTATCATCTTACAAAAACAATAAGCCAATGAAAACACCAGACTTTATGATTTTACACTAAACAGATCAGAAGCAGGGAGATTGCTGCAAAGTGTAAAAAAAAAAACGTTCAAAAATCAGAAGCTTCTGGGTTACACTGAAAAATAAAAAACTCCAGTTTTTAGATTGAGCCTATTTTTTACACCGGGTTTGAGAATAAACAAGGATATAAAATTAATTTCCTAAGAAAACYCAACACAAACAATAAACATAGTGAATTATGAGCTCCACAAAATTGTATCCATCTCTTCACCAGAAATGTGTGTAGTATCTGTGTTGTGCTGTAAGAGATTTATCTCTGCYACATTTTTAAGGGTAGAAGATAAAAGATTATTCTGTTTCAAAACTTGAATGTTTGGTACACTCCCTTTTTTCCACAAAATGTATGACTGAGCAGAATACTGAGAATGCCATCAGTCTTTCTTTATATAAACATACATTTATATTAATTATACATACATGAATCGAACACTAAGATTACTGTATTTTTGGTGTTTATAGTTCATGCTGTACCTGAGTTATGAAACCCAAGACTGGGGATGTTTTTTTAAATAACATGCAACACAATAGCTACAAATATTAATTTTAAACTAAATTAATTTTAAATGAAATATCAAAGTTTTGGTGTGATCTGTTTGCTTAGAGCAGTGTTTCCCAAAGTTGGGGTCGGGACCCAAAGTGGGGTCCTGAAACATCAAGGCGGGGTGCTGACAAGATTTTCTGAATTAATTACATTTTTTGCCTTAGTTGTTACAAAGGAGTGAGGTTAGTGTATTTAAAATGGATAAATGTAGTATAAAAATATTGTTACTATG